GCTGAATTTGCACATAGTAACAATAATGCATTGCATCTTTTTTCAGTCGAATTTTATAATTTTTTTATCAGTTTGTAAATTATTCACAAAGTGCAACAAGTAACAAATTTGGTCCATCAAATGTTACGTAGAACAATGCGAAGATGTACATACAATGAGGATCGAGTGAGTTGTTTAAAATGCAAACAAGGTAAGCAAAGTGCGGAGTATCTGTAAAATTAGGATCTGATGGCTAGGTTTTCAAAAGATTCTTTGCTTTTGATTCCTGTTTTTAGCAGTAGAAGGATACGCGAAAAAAGTGCGTGTTATTTCATTTGTCAATCAGGTCATCAGCGGAGTTGTATGAGTCTGAAATTATCACAGTTTTTACCGGTAATTCGATGTGGGTGTAATCCCCCTCCCGCTATTCGCCACGTCCCCCTCCCTGGTAGGTAAAGCAGACTCTAAATGATGGTTAAAATGACAATCCCTCTCAGGAGACAAAAGAACCGCCAGGACTGGCAATAAGCTGACTATCAAGCAATGCGAAGCAACTGAAAAGTTGATATCTGTGTATAGGTTAAGGACTAGTCCTAAAATACAGCTGAACAAAGTACCAGAGTAAGTGACAGGGATTATAAAATTGTCACAGTACTTGCTACGAATTAATTCTAAATAGCTTCTGTTAGCTACTGCTTTTGTTTCCTTTTTTCATGTTATACGATACAGCAGCGATCCTCTTCAACTGCTGCGCATATCCTTCGCCAGTTTCCAGTGCCAGTGCACTAAAGGCACTGTTCGTTTGGCACAGCAGTGTGTACGGATGATCAAATTCAATCAATTTACCATTTTCAAACACCTGCAATGTACATTACAAAGCAAGAAAAAAACTGATATGAGGAAGCTCTGCAACCGGCAGAATCTTCGAAATTATTACTTCTACGACGAATATTTTTTTACGTAGGTTGCCCCGGGCGTCTTTGTTAGCAGTGTAATTTTATGGAGGGAAGAGGACGGGGTTGGATACATAAGAAGTAAAAG